GCCCGGCACGGTAGCGGCGGCTGACTGAGTAATGGCACAGCCGACCGCCGCGGCAGGCCACTTTGCACTCCTGCCTGCAATGCATGCACCCTTACATGTGCAGCCTTCTGGTATTTTCATGTGCCTGGGAGATGTGCGGGCATGGGGGCCCATGTGCCCCATGCCATTTGAGTGCCCGGCGGCGGCGCTGCCTGCCGCCGGGAGCCCGCACCAGCATCGGCACCCGTCGGCCTGGCAGGCCTAAGCTGCTAAGGATCCCCACGTCCCCCACCACGTTGTGGGGGTTGCGTGTCCGGCAGGACGGGGAGCGGGGCCAGGGTGGGGTGACCCTGGGACGCTCAGCTGGGGGGAGGGTGGTCGGAGCCATGGAGAGGGTGCTCCATGGTCCACCCCCTCTCTTGATGCCCCTTGATCACGTGTGCCCCCTGCCCAAGGTCTGCTCACGCGGCCTATCATAGCGGGGTGACTGTAACACAGGGTGACACCACGCATGCATGGTGGCAGGCACGGCCCGCAGCCATGCTCCCCCAAGCGGCAGCAGCCAGGCTCCAGCGCACTCCGCCGCCAGCCCCCTCCGAGTTTGAGCAGGTGAGCAGGGCTGCTAGCTTGTGCCCACCCAATCTGCCCACTCTCCCAGGAGACACCCCCCCACCCACCCACCTGGCGCGTGGCGGCGGCCAGCGCTGGCTGCCGCCGCTGGCGGCCGCCGCCACCCTGCGCTCCACGGGACAAGCCGCACATCTGCATGCAGGGCTGGCGGCCGGGACCCGCCACAAGGAGGAGCGAGGCGGCTGGTAGACGGCGCTTGGCAGCTGCGTGCTTGGCAGCAGCGCGCTGGTGCCGCGCCGGCCCAAACAACCACAGCTTGCTGCACATGCCACGAGGCCACTGCCGCCAGAGGGCACGTCTGCCGAGCCTCGGCATGGGGCGGCCACCATGGCGCAGCCTGTGCTGCGCCTTCTTTGGCCCCATCAGGGAGCGGCGAGCGGCCGCCGCTGCAGTGGGCCACGCCGGCAAGCCTGCAGCTGCTGCTGCCGCCCCTGCCGCACCCCCGGTGAGGGATGAGTGCCTGCCAGCCTCCCCGGCGGCGGCGGGCGGCGGCGGGACCGGCGCCCGGGGCCTCCTCCCTTGCCGTGGCAAAGCTGCAGCGGTGCATCCGAGCCTGCCGCTCTCTGCCAGCGTGCCTGATCTCTCGGCCAGGATGCGAGGAGGAGGAAAGAGCAACCTTGGTGACAAACGCACAGGCCTCTCGGGCCTGTACCTGGTTGCTTGAACACTCACCTCCTCCCCAGCCAAACACGATGGTTCAGCCCACCGCAACCCTCCCCACGGGCGAGCCCCGCTGCCAGGCGGTCAAGGAAAAGGACAACAAGCAGTGCAGCCGCAAGGCCCAGGAGGGCCAGGCCTACTGCTGGCAACACGGCAGCGGTGGGCAGAGCCCCAAGGGCAAGCGCTAGGCAGCCCCGGCGGCGTCGCCGGCCGGCCTGGTTCCAGGTGAAGATCCCTTTCGCCCAGAGCTTGCCCAGGTTGCTCCCGAACCCCTCCACACCTCGCTGCCTCATGAATGCACCCTTTCGACCTGCTGCAGCATACAACGAGGTCGCGGCGGGGCCGCCCTGGCTGCGGCGGCGGCGGCACGGCGCCCTTCACGGCCCTGCGGCGAGCACAAGCTGGCCCCAGGCACCTTGCGCCGCCCCCCTGCCCCACCCATGTTGATCAACTGACGGCAAGATGCACAGCCCCCGCCGCTCGCGCATGCACAACAGCGCGGCTTTGAAGGCGCGCCCGCGAGCGAGCAGCCAGGAACACCGCTCTTTCGACCATCGTACCAACCATTTGCTAGTCACGGTTTGACTTATAGCCGTGCTGTGATCGATGCAGCCCTGTATATGTAACGCGCCAAGTCTAGGAAGGCCAGGGCATTCGGCCCGCTTGTCAGCTGCAGACTGGCGGCGGCGATATGCGGCACATGTCGGTCTGGTGTGGCTGGTTGCGACACGGGCTATGGGGCTTCAGTCAAGGCCCATCGAATCCATGCAAGCGAACGGGCGAGGTTAGGGGGATCGGGCTCCCGCAGCTGCCTGCAGGTCTTTCCCGGTTGCCTGGCTGACGTCAGCCCTCTTGCAGCTAGCCTCCCGCACTCCAGCACCAATGATCGCCTCCCTGCTAGCATCCACCGCCGCTGCAGCGCCCGCCGCGCCAGCCATGAGCGGCATCGTGTGGGCCGCGCTCAAGCACAGCGCCAAGGTGAGCGTTTTGGCCTCCCATCCCCTGGACATGCGCTGTCAGACTGCAGCTGCCAATTCTGATCGAGCGACGCCCATCACGGCCGCCATTCAGTGTCGCACCGCGGGGCGGCGGGGCGGGGCGTGCAGGGCGGCGCCCGCCCACCCTCCGCTGCGTGCTCACCCGGCCCGTGTGTTGCGCCCTGCCCGCCAGGTGGTGGCTGCCACGAATGCGGCGGGATTCCTGGTGACTGCGGTGACGCAGAGCCACAAGATCACAGACCTGACGGGCACGGCGGCCTTTGCCGCCAGCGCCTGGGCCACTCACGCCGCCGCCGCCAGGTGGGGAAGAAAGCGGCTGCCCGCGCCAGGCAGCGGCGTGCGTGGGCGTGCGGCGGCGTCAGCTTACAGCTGGGCGCAGAGGTGACGGTGGTGGGGTGGGAGGCAAGACCCCGAGGAGGCGCTGCAAGCAGCAGCCAGCCTGCCGCTGAGGCTGCCGGTGCGCTCCTGGCCTGGCGCCGCCACCCGCCGCTGCCCGCAGGGCGATGGGCACGCCCCTGCTGGCGCCCTCCCGCGGCTCCCTGCTGGCGGGCTGCGTGTCGCTCTGGGCGCTGCGGCTGGGGGGCTACCTCTTCTACCGCGTGCTCCAGGTGGGCTGCTCGCATATACCTCCCATGCCTGGCCTCGCGTTGGCTTCCATTGGCTGCGTGCCAGGGGGGCAGCCACAGATTTGGCACAGCCTGTCTGCCTGGGTTGTGGCGCCGCCGAGCGGCCCGCCCCAGCAGCCCCAGCAGCGCCACTGCCTGCCCGCCTGCCCGCCTGCCTGTGCCTGGACCGCAGGTCGGCAAGGATGCCCGGCTGGATCAGTTTTTCCAGCAGCCCGAGGAGACGCTGCTGACGGGGCCCAGCAAGTGAGTGGGCTCCAGCGGGGCGGGGCTGGGGCTGAGGGAGCGCCGCAGGTTGCATGCTGGCCGCTGCTAGCTTGCGCAGGATCCGGGAGCTGCTCGCTGCGTGCGGGTGCATGTGCGCGCTTGGCTGCAAGGAGCAGCGTGCATGCGTGCGCATCAGTTTCCTTCTGCGGCGCGGCTGACTGGGTGCCTGCCGCCCTTCCTGCTTGCCTCCCCGCCCCGCGCCCGCCCCTGCAGCTACCCGCTGCGCCTGCTGTTCTTCTGGACGATGCAGGGCCTGTGGGCCTGGGCCTGCATGCTGCCCGTCACCGCGGCCCATGCCCTGAGGTGCGCTGCGTGGCGCTGCAGCGACACATCCCTTGCCAGTGCCAGTGCGCTACATTGAGCGTTCCAGTCCCCAGCTCTCGTCTTGGCGAATCTAGAATGTTAAGCCAGTACCCTGTCCGCATCCCACCCTGCCATGCGCACGCCTGCTTCCCCGCAGCCGCTCCGCCCCCGCCGCGCACCGCCTCGCCTTCTCGCCCTCCCTGGCCGCCGGGCTGCTGCTGTTTGGCGGCGGGCTGCTGGTGGAGAGCGTGGCGGACTGGCAGAAGTTCAGCTTCAAGAGCGACCCAGGTGGGCGCAGCAGCACTCACTTTCGGCCGCGGCGCACTGGTGGGGATGCCCCGAGGAGCGGCGCTGCCGCTGCCGCTGCGGGCTCGCGTGCCACGCTGTCTTCAGCCTCTGCAGGCCTAGGCCCCCAGCGCGCCTGCCCCCCACCCAAGATTCCTGCCGCCTCGCCGCCCGCCCCTCCTGCCCGCAGCCAACCAGGGTCGCTTCATGGGCCCCGTGGGCCTCTTCGCCTACTCCCGCCATCCCAACTACTTTGTGAGCGGCTGCAGGGCTCCTGCTGCAGGGCTCGCCGGCGGCTGCTCTCGCCTGCGGGCCGCTCTGTCGCCGATCCCTGTGGCTCCCGTGCCTCCCACGCCACACACGCAGACTGCGCTCCTGCTGCGCCACACGCACAGACCCCTGCGGGACCCCCTGCTTCCCCCGCAGGGCGAGATGTGTGTGTGGGCAGGCCTGTTTGTGATGGCGGGCCCCGCGGTGTGGGTGCGCTGCCCTTGGGCTGCAGCCTCCCCCATCTTCACCTACCTCCTCATCCGCCACCTGTCCGGTACGTTGCTGTACCGCTGCAGCTGCCGGCCAGCTCTCGCCAGCCCGCGCCGCGTGCTGTGCGCCGGCCGCGCGGCGGCCGGTTGTCCCGTGGCAGCGTCGCACCAGCGGCGCTGTGTGCTCCAGCGCTCACTGCATGCGGCCCCCCTGCCTGCCCCGCAGGCATCCCGCCGCTGGAGCGTTCGTACGCGGAGCGGTACGGCGGGCAGCCGCAGTACGAGGCCTACAAGGCAGCCACCAACCTGCTCTTCCCCTGGCCGCCCCGCGACAAGTTCCCCTGAGGGGCCCGCAGGCGCGATGGGACCATCGCCTCGTGCCGCTGGCCGCGCTCTATGCGGCACCTCCTGCATGCAGCCGCCCCACGCGCTTTTTGCAGTCATGTATCTTGTGCCATGTATCGTTTCTATGTTTATTATAGTATGCCGTGTAAGGCAGCGCTCCGGAGAGCAGGGTCAACCTAGAACCGTGCGCTTTCCTCCCCGGCGAGAAAGCATCCCGGCGCCCTCTTGCCGCGCAGCTCCAAGGCCCCCACCACTGGTGGCACTCTCTTCCGCCTCACTCGCCAGTCCAAGGCTCCTGGCAAGCGCCATGGGGGCCCAGGCCGACCACAGCAGCGGGGCTGGGCGCATCCTGGTCGAGAATGTGGTGCCAGCCATTGGCGTGGTGCTCTTCGCCATCATGTCTGCATCGCCCACCCGCACGGTGCGCTGGCAGGCGGGCGTGGCGTGGCCCCCTGCTGCCTACCCTCCCGCTGCTGGCCGCCGCCGTCATGATCAGCTGCCAGCCTGCTGCGGTGCAGATCTGGCGCACGCGGCAGAAGCGGGACATCGGAGGTACATGCATGCAGGCGCCCGCGGTGCCGTTCTCCACACTCGCAGCCCCAGCCTGCTGGCGCCGACGCAGGCTGCCCACCTGCCTCCTGGCCTGCCTGCCTCCGTACCTCCTGCCTGCCTGCCTGCCTTGGCCTGCAGAGTACAACCCGCTGCCCACCGTGGTCCTGGTCTGCAACGCCGTCAGCTGGTTCAGCTACTCGCTGGCTTCCAGGGACCCATACATCGCATGCAGGCGAGCGCCGCGCTTGGGGGCGCTCCTCGGCCCCACCCCGGCAGGACCGGCGTGCTGAGCGCGCTCTGCGGGGGCCACGGCAGGCGTGCCTCCCATGCGACGCTCAGCCCCCAGGGGCAGGCCCGCTGCTGTTGCTTGTCGAGGGTCCTCGCCATGCCGCCCTCCCCGCGCCCTGCTGCCCGGCCTGCGCCTGCCTGGCGCGCGTGCAGCTCCGCCGTCGCACTGCTGGTGTCGACCGGGAACACCGTGATCCTGGCGGGGCAGATGAAGCAGCGGGTGGGCGCCCCAGCATACAGCATACAGCCATATGTGGCTGTACAGCCCGCTGCCTGCTGCTGCCTGCTGCCCTGCGCCCTGCTGCGGGCGGCTGCTGGATGCCAGCAGTATGCCTCGCTGTCCCGCCTGATGGCAGCCTGAGGGGGCAGCCAGGACGAATGCCAGCTCGCAGGCCGCGGTCGACGGCGCGGGGCCGGCTGCCGCTGCAGCTGCCAGGCTGGAACGTGCGTGCGATGCTCGCCCCTCTCTTTCTGCCCCCCTGCACCCCCGCCCCCGGACCGGTACCGCCCCGCAGGTGCGGGACCGGCTCACGGTGCTTCTGCTGGCCTACCTGTCGGTCCTGCTCGTGCTGGGCACGCTGAGCTCGCTGGCTGGCTGGGCGCCGCGCACCGTGGAGCGGGTGTGGGCGGTGGCGGCCAACACGGGGTCCGTCCTGTACTACTCCAGCCTCCCCTGCACCATCCGCAAGGTGGGCCCCCATCCCCACACCGCACCAGCCTTTGCGCCTGCACCAACCTTTACACCCGGGCCGGCATCACCCTAGGGTGCTGGGCGGCTTGGGGACGCCTTAGCCGGGGGCGGCGAGGGCCCCGGGGCGCCGCCAAAACACGTCTGGATGACAAAGAAGGCGAGGGCGGCTCCCGAGGGGCCCGCCCGCAGGTCGCCCCAGCCTGTACCCCAAGCTTGCAAGAGTTAACATGCCGGCCGTGCACCCTCCCAAGCAGGTGCTGCGCCAGCGCTCCTCCGCCTCCATCCACCTGGCCAACTCCGCCATGGCCGCCGCCAACTGCGCCCTGTGGCTCACTTACTTTGTGGTGCGCCTGCCTTCCGCGCGTGGTCGGCTGCTGGGGGGCTTGATGGGGGGCCGTTGCCGGCAGGCTCTGGTGCAGAGCTCTTTGTCGCATGCACGCCATGTGTGTCCGTGTTGCCACCCAATATGTGCGACCCTGCCTGGAAGGAGCGTCCCTGCATGCAGTACAGCGGTACGGGCATGGCTCGATGCGCCGCGTCCCTCTTGTACCTGCAGGCGGCCAAGGGCGAGCTGCTGGTCCCCACCACCACATACTACCTGGGGCTCGCCTTCTCCCTGCTCAACCTGCTGCTGTGCTGGCGCTACCCGCGCCACCCGCCGCCGCCCGCGGGCCCCGCCGCGCCTGGCGCGGAGGGGGGGCAGGAGCAGCAGGTGCAGGGGGTGGAGGTGAGCGGGCACCCCTCTGGGCTGCAGCGACACTGCCCCAGCACGTGTGCGTTTTGTATCTCACCCCCTGCCCTGAGCACCTGCCCTCGGCTGGGAGGCAACCTTTCTACTGCAGCTCACCCAGCGCCGACCTGCCGCGCGCCATGTCCCGCAGATGGGCAGCGGCGCCTCCGCCGGCGCCGGCAGCTTCTCCACAGCTGCCGACCTGGCAGAGCCGCTGGAGCTGGAGCGCCTCTCCGGCCTGTCGCAGCCCAAGCAGCGCTCCGGTACCGCGGCCGCGGCGCCCGGAGGCGAGGGGGAGCAGTGGCAGCCGCCCACACCCACAGCAAGCAGCTGGAGCCCCCCCGCCCCTCAGGAGCCCTGAGGCATACCCATTCCCCGGCCGTGCTGCCTGTGCCCATGTGCTGCACATCGGGGCCCCTCTGCTGCGTGCACGCTCCAGCGCAGCCATCTGGGGGGGTGAGCCCCTCACGTCTCTTGTGCCCGCTCATCTCCCCTGCATCCTTGGCGACCGCAACCCATCCAACCCATTCTTACAAGCCGGCGCATGACCGATGCGGTCCACGCATCGCTGCTCTTCTCTCCCTGCAATCGAGCTCAGCCAGGGGCGCAGCCAGGGGCGCAGCCAGAGGCTCTGTTGGGCGCCACCTGGCGCACGCAGTTTCATCTCGCACACCGGGGCCGTTCTCTCAACCGAAAAGCAGGGCTGGGCCCGCGCTGCCAGCTGCTGCCCAGCTGCTGCGCATGCGCATGCCCCGCTGCCCGCTCTACTGCTCCCCGGGCGGCGGCGGCGGCCCCCCAAACTCAGTAGAGTTGCCGTTCCAGTACTTGTTGGCTCCCGGGTCGTCCTGCCCATCCTCCCTGCCGGTACCGGTACTGCTGCCGAGGGTATGGATGTTGGGTCCTGCCGCGGCGGCTGCCGGAGCGCCGCCCAGGGCCCGCTTGCGCGCGCCGCGCTGCTGGCCGCCGCCGCCGCCGCCGCCGGAGGGCAGCAGCGCGTCCGGTGCGGCGCCCTGCCCCCGCGCAGCCGTGCCGGCCGCCGCCGCAGACGCCGACGCCTGCACCTCCTCGGCCGCGGCGGCGGCGGCCTGCTCGCGTGGCGTGCCCGCCGCGCCGCCGCGCAGGTAGCTGTAGGGGTTGAAGTAGGAAGCTGCGGTACCAAGGGCGCCGCGCAGGGACCAGCCGGTACCGCCGCCGCCCCCGGCGCCGCCACCCAGCGGCTCCAGTAGCAGCAGCTGCCGCGGCTGCAGGCCCAGCGAGTGCAGCTGCTGCGGCAGGTCATCCGCCCGGAAGGTGCGCTTGGGGAAGGGCAGTACCAGGCGGTACGGCACCCCGCCATCTGCAGCAAAGGGGTGCAGGTGCGGGGCACAGGTCGGTAGGTGGCAGGGGACGTGCAGGCACCAGCGGGGGCCCTCCCATCCAAGCGACATGCATGCAGCTCTGAAAATATGGGTGCAGCGACCGGTCTCAAGCCCGGCCCCCCAAACCAGACCCCACACCTCCGGCCAGCGGGTGGAACGCAAGCCTGCCCGCGACCCTCCAATTGGAAAGCGTCCTTGCCCCCTCACCTGTGCGGTGCGAGTCGAGGTAGTGGCACACCTCCTGGAGGCGGGACTCGGGCGGGAAGCTGCCGCGCAGCTGCTCGCCGTTGGTCAGCTTGAACTGCGGCAGGGGGCGACGGAGGGAGGGTGGGACGCAGCGGCAGTGTAGGCCAGGCAAACACAAGGATGTGGGGGCGACAGCGGCAGGCGCCGGGCACAGCTGCCCACCCCACACCCCTCCGCCCACACCTCCGCCACACACACACACACACACACATGCCCCACCTGCAGGGTATACACGTCAGGTAGCTTGGCTGCCTCGGCCTCTGCTGCCGCAGCAGCCGCCGCCGCAGCAGCCGCAGCAGCAGCCCTGGACTGCACCGCGGCAATGGGGGCGGGGGCCGGGGCTGCGGCCGGCGCGGCGAGCTTGCCCTTGGACCGCGGCGGCAGCAGCTCCAGCTGCAGCGAGGTGCGGGCATCAAAGCCCAGCTCCTGCAATAATGCAAGGGATGCCGGCGCAGGGCGGGGCACGCATGTGAGGCGGTGGGGAGGCGGGAGGCGCGCCGGGCAGCAGCTGCGGCGCAAGGCCTGGGCGCCTGGGGCCCCGGCGGCGAGGCCAGGGCAGGGCGAGCGCTGGAGGCGCTGCACAACACAAGCCACCCGGGGCTAGCCGCCCGGGGCCCTGCTGCCGGCGCCGTTGGCTGGCTGACGCATGGGATGGGCGGTCGGCGGCGCCATTTGCTGCTTGCCTGTGCTGCCTGCAGCTCCCCGCCAGTACAGCGCCCTGCCAGCTCACCAGCAGCGTCCTGCCCAGGTCTCCGGAGAAGAAAGCGCGCTTGGGGAAGGTCTGGCACAGCTTGTAGGCGCCCCTGCAGCGCGCAGGCGGGCGGGGCGAGGGCGAGAGCAAGGTAAAGTGTGGCAGTGGCAGCGTGTGGCAGTGGCGGTGTGTGTGTGCGGCAGGAGGCTCTCTCGGCCAACCCGGGAGCTGCAACGGAGCACGGCACGGCGCGGCAGCGTCCGTCCAACAACAGGGCGGCTTGCCGGCACGCAGCTGGGGCACAAGGCCCTGCTTTGAAGCTCCCGGCCGGCCCTTAAACCCATGCAGGGGGATGAGCCTGAACTGCGCTGCCCTGCCCCCACCTGTCTGTGCGGGCCGCATCCAGCCAGTCCAGCACCGCCGCCAGCCTGGCATCCGGCTGGAAAGCGCGGCGCAGCACGTCGCCGTTGCTCAGCCGCACCTGCAGCTGGATCTCGGACGGCGGCGGCAGCGCCGGCGCGGGTGCAGCCACCGCGGGCGGCGGACGGCGGGCAGCCGAGGGCCGCGCAGCCGCCGCAGCCGCCGTAGCCGCAGCGGAGGCCGCCGCCGCCTCCGCGCGCACCTGCTGCAGCTGCCCCCGCACGCCTGCGATGCCGCCGGCCGCTGCCGTCGCCGCGGGCTGCTGCCGTGTGTCTGCAGCCGCAGGCGACGGCTCCGCCGCCGCCGCCGCCGGCGCATCCACAGCCATGGGCTGCGGCTCGGGTGCGGCCTCGGGTGTGGGCTCGGGTTGGGGCGGGCGGTGGCCGAGCGCCGCGTGAGGGATGACTTGCAGCGAGGTGCGGGGTTGGATGCCCGCCGCCGCCAACGCCAGGCCCTCCTGGGCGGCGCCTACCACCACCCTTGGCGCCGCCTGCACCAGAACGTATGCCAAGCCGCGGCACTTGCCCGCCACCGCGCGCTGGCCGTCCAGCCAGGCAAACACCTGGGCCAGGGTGGAAGCTGCCGTGAAGTCGCCCCGCAGCACGCTGGCATCGGTGAACTTAAACTGAAGGCGGTACGGCTGGGAGGCCGGGTCGGGCGGCGGAACCTCCTCGGAAGCTGCCGCCGCCGCCGCCGCCGCCTCGGCTTCTGCCGCCGCCGCCGCTGAGCCTGGCGCCGCCGCAGAGCCTGGGGCCGCCGCTGGCGCCGCTGCCGCTCCCCCTGCTGCTGCTGCTGCTGCCGCTGCTGCTGCGGCGGGTGCAGGGGCAGCAGCAGCAGGAGCGGCCGCGGCCGGCGGCGCCTCCTCCTCCTCCCAATCCTCGACTAAGTCCGGCAGATCATCCATGGCCTCATCCCCAGCCTCCGCCGCAGACCCCGCCTGCGCAAACCCCGCCTGCGCAGCCGACGCCTGCGCGACCGCGGCGGCCGCCGGCTGCGGCTGCGGCTGCGGCTGCGGCGGCTGCGGCGGCGCCGCGGCGGCCACTGCCAGCGCCATCATCTGTAGCTGCTGCGTGCGGAAGGCGGCGTATGCGTCGGCCAGGCGCTGGCGCAGCTGCGCGGCAGACGCCACCCCCGCCACCTTGGCCAACGTGGCGCCAGCTGGCGATACCATAACCACCTGCGGGCGGGTCGCCAGGGGCAACCAAGGGAGCGAGGTAAAAAAAAGAAAGGTGGCATCGGCGAGGACGGCGCTTCGGTGTGACAGACCGGGTGTGAGGCAAGCCCTTGCGGGCCACGGCTGCTGCTGAAAGAAAGAAAGAAAGAAAGCAGCGCGCAGCACGGGCTGCGCAGCAGGCCGGGCCGGGCCGGCCGGCTGCCAGCCCTGCCTGCCCTGCCTGGCCCGCCGCCAGCCCCCCGGCGCCGCCAGCTGGCGGCTGAGGCTCACCGTGGGCAGCGCCTCCACCGGGCAGAAGGCGCGGAAGTGTTTTGCGTCGGCAAACTGGGTGCGGTCAGTGTTGGTGAGGTCATCCTGCGCGCCGGGATGAAGGAAGAAAGAAGGGAGGCGGGGATGGTTGCATCGACAGGCTAGCTGCCACACGGCTGGCAGACAGGTGGGAGCATGGAGGGGCGGGCGGCCTGGGATGAGGACAGCCAGAAGAGCGTGGTGGTGTGCAAGGGACGCCCGGCTACCGCCGTGGTGACGCCGCCGCACCTCGAGCGCCAGAACGATGGAGCCGGCCGCAAACTCCTCCTGCCCCAGCTCGATCAGGGCGTCCTGCACCTGGCGGCTGCCCTGGTCGAAGCCTGTTGCAGGGGGAGAGGGACAGGTTGCTGAGGGAGGCCGAGGGCGGCGGCAGCGGCGGCAGCGACGGCGCCCAGCGGCAGGGCTCGGCAAGCGCGCCACCAGCGGCCTGCAAGGCTACTGTAGGCACTCGGGGTGCTACCCTGGCGCAGTGCAAAGGCCAGCAGCGCCCCAACTCGCTGCTGTAGGAGCTGGGCATGGCCTGCTGCCGGCCCGCGCCCTGCGCAGGCCCTAGAAAGCTTCCAATTGGCATGAATACCCCTCTGGAGCTCACCTGTGAGCAGCACAACAAGGGGCTTGACCTCCCGCCGCGAGGTTGCGATCGCCTCTGCTATGGAGCCCTCGAAAAACATGGTGGCTGCGTGAGGCACACTTCCAATGATCGCCGATCATCGCAAAGGAGCCAGCAGGCCTAGTGGGTGCACTCGTGCTGCGTCAGGTCGCAGCAGGAGCGGCGGCTGGCCCCCGGCCCGCCAGAACGTCCCAAAGGCTTTTGTGCGTCCTCGGGACTGATCACATCACTGGTACACACATCAGCGACACCGGTTATGCAGGCAGCCAGCTTGCAGCGGCCGTGCATGGCGCTGACAGTCGGCCCCAGGCAGCGAGCGGTCCAGGATGCAGCGGGGGCGGGCAGCAGCAGCAGATACACACGCCATTTCACGTGTCCGCTGCCCAACCAGGTGCACCGCTCCACAAGCAGTCCATTGGGCGAAAGCCCGGGCGCCCAGCGGCGCCTGGGAGGCAGCAGACTGCACGCGGCGGTGGTAGGCGACGGCCTGACCGAGGCGCAGCGGCAGCAGCAGGGCGGCAACGGCAACGGCGCCGGTGCAGCGGCGGCGGCGGCGGCGGCAGCAGCGACGCTCGATCCCCAGCAGCAGCAGCAGCAGCAGCAGCGGCAGCCCTTGGTGCGGGACCCAGAGGAGTTTCAGCTGCAGCCGGGGGAGCTCAGCTACATAGCCCGCGGCAAGCCGCTGTCAAACGTCGACGTCTTCCGCTGCGCCGCCTGCTCCCGGCCAGAGTGCCAGGTGCGCTGAGGGCCCCAGGTGTTAGAGGCACCCCGCTATGATAGGCCGCGTGAGCACACCTCGGGCAGGGGGCACACGTGATCAAGGGGCATCGAGAGAGGGGGCCCCGACCTTCTGCGGACAGCCAGCATCGCGGCATCGCCGCCGTCGCGCTGCAGCTGGGGCAGGGTTTCAAGGAGACGGGCCGCTGCTGCCAGCACCGGCGCATGCTGCCCATGCCCCACGCAACTCTCCATTCCCCTACTTGCTGCTGCGCAGACGGCGGCGGGGTGCGCGGGCATGCAGTGGCGGCACACGGCGGGGGGATACCTGCGGGAGGTACTGACCGCCAAGGTGTATGATGTGGCGGTGGAGACGCCGCTGGAAGCTGCCGAGAAGCTGAGGTACGCCCCGGGGGGGCTGGCGGCGCAGCACGGGCAGCCTGCGGCCGGCGCGTGTGGCCCTCCGGCAGCCGCAGCGGAGGCGGCCTCGGCGTGTGTGCACTGGCCGGATGCTGCCGCATGCCGCCGTGCCTGCTCCCCTGCCCTCCCCGCTCCCCTCCTCCTCACAACCCTCTCCTCTCCTTCCACCTCGCCATTGAATCTCCTCTGCTGCAGCGAGGCGTGCGGCAACACCATCCTGCTCAAGAGGGAAGACCTGCAGCCCGTCAAGTCCTTCAAGCTGCGGGGGGCCTACAACAAGATGGCCCAGCTGACTGAGGAGCAGGTGCGGGCCTGGGGGCGCTGCTGGCGGTGCGCCGCCGGGAGGCATGCAAAACCAAAATGCCCAGGACGGAAGCGCGCCTCTGCCGCCACCACGTTGGCTGCAGCTGGCTGCGGGCCATGTCGGGCTGTGTGCTGAAGCCCGTCTGCCGCCCCCCTGCTTCGCCCCCTGCTGCGCAGCTGGCCAAGGGCGTCATCTGCTCCTCAGCAGGCAACCACGCGCAGGGCGTGGCGCTGGCGGCGAAGCAGCTGGTGCGTGCGTGGGGCGTGGCTGGGTGTGGCTGGCTTGGTGGCACCAGCTGCCAGCGGGATGCACGGGCTGGCTGGCCGGCTGGCTGGCTGCTTGGTCAGGGCAGGGGGGTAGCCTGCTGGCGGCTGGCACGCGAGCATAGGAGCAGGGCCCCCCGGCCGCCAGCTGCCGCCATCCCCCCGCTGCTGCCATCCCTCGCGCGCCACCGCTCCACCCGCAGGAAGCTGCCACCCACCCCTCCGTCCCGCCCTCCTGTCTTCCCGCCCTCCCCCCCCTCCCTCTATGCAGGGCTGCCACGCTGTCATCTGCATGCCCACCACCACCCCCGACATCAAGGTGAAGGCGGTGCGGGCGCTGGGGGGCGCTGTGGACCTGTGCGGGGAGAGCTACCAGGAGGCGCAGGCGCACGCGCAGGTGGGTGGCTTGGCAGGTGTGGCGCCCGGCTGGCGGCTGGCACCTGCGCTGGCAGCTGGGGGCTGCGGTGCAGAGGGCGGCGGCTGCGAACAGCCGCGCCACTGATGGCGTATAGGGCCGGCCAGTCGCCGTGCGCTGGACGGCAGCACTCTTTAGTTCTGGGGCAGAGCTGCAGGCAGGGGGCGTGCCGCATCCCCTGCTCTCCATCTGCCCCGCGTGCCTGCCTGCCTGCTGCAGGCGCGGGCGGCGGCAGAGGGCATTGTGTTCATCGCGCCATACGACGACCCCTACACCATCGCCGGGCAGGGTACCATCGGCAACGAAATCCTGCGGTGGGTGGGTGGGTGGGCTGGCGGCGGCGGCTCGGTGTGGTGCATACACAGAGCTACCAGCCAGGCCGAGGTGCCCAGGCACCCAGGCGCTCTCAGCCAGGCCACGGCCGGTGACCGCGTCACAGCAACACACGGTGGCACCCCTGCGCATGCCCCTGCCCCTGCCCCTGCCCGTCAACCAG